GTATTGAATGTCAAAATCTCAAAAATGATCAAGTTTTTAAGGTATTATATTTATAATTTAGTAAATTTATTATATAACTAGAGTAGCGAGTAATAAATCAATGATCACCACCACCATCTAATATACAGGGTAAAAAAAACAAATTTATTTATAAAAATTAAATTATACATATATATATATATATATATATAAAAGTATATATATAAACAAAACAAATAAAAAAATATACAAAAATATACATAATAAAATATATATAATAATCAAAAATGATCATAAATTGAAAAATATGTTTTTTATTACAAAACTATATACATTTTTTAAACTTCAAAAAAAAATTAATCATTATCTGAAAAAAAATTATTCGCATTCAAAAATGAATCTTTCACTCTTATTTTTTGATTGTTTTTTTTTTATAATGATTTTTACCAATCCCCTATGAAGAATAATCTTTTTAACCTTTTGATTTCTGTCTACTCTGTTTATTTTTAATAAAGAAATTTGTTATAAATTTAATAATATAATGATAGTATGATTATGAATGAATACAATATTAAAAAACTCACTTTAATGGAAGTGAAATTATATGTTCAAACCAAGTCCCATTTTTGAAGATATTTTTGTCTATTGAGACACTGTTTGCTGTAGAAGGAATTTCGTTTAAAACACCTGATATATAAATAATTTTATTTGTTGGTCCGACTTCTATGGTTACATCTTCTGGATTTTTTACTGTGGGAACGTTTGCTATAATAATATATTCATTTCTATTTTAAAATAAAAAAAGAATTTAATTTTTTATAAAGTTAATGTAGTGAAATGTTACTTGGTTTTATATAATAATACTAATAATACCCATTATCAAAAACACCACGATTTTTATCATCCTCGAAAATTATTTTATTGTCATTATTGTTATCACTGGCACTACTACTAATAACATCATTGTTATCACCGGCACTACTACTAATAACATTATTATCAGTACTGATACTACTACTAATAACATTATTATCAGTACTGGTACTACTACTAGTATTGTTGTTATTGATACTACTGCTGCTATTATTGTTGTTGGGATTGTTATTATCATTGTTGTTATTACCAACAACACTATTATCACGTATGTAGTTTACTGATCTAGTAGTTCGGTAGTACATAGCAGCTGAAAATGTAATTGTATTTCCTTGGTTATCATGATAACTACGATTGTTGTACCTATAATAAAAGGAACCAGCCTCGGCATGATTATGGAAATGGATATGTGCATATCTAAATTTAAAATTAATTGTAGTTCTACTAAAATATTTTTTAATTTTTTAATATGAAATCAATCTACCAAGAAAATTTTTTACCTTTTATCGTGTAATTTTTTTACATGTGAATACCTCACTTGAGGTAAATTGGAATTCAACCATTCTTCAAAATAAGCTGCATTTTTGTCTGTGTGATCAGAACCTCCGACAAAAACAGATAATGCTGGGTTTGAACAACACTCTAATTGTTAATAAGTTATATTTAATAATAGATTTATACACGTAAGGTAGGTATGTACAGAGAAAAGAAGAAACATCATTCCCAAGCGAGGGAGGAACTTCAAGCAAGTCATTATTTTTAAATGAAGGGAAATAGTGGAAAACTACACTTAAAAATAAACTTCACTTGAAGTGGAGGACTACACTTGGGAACAGATACCTCTTACGACTTCAAAATCGTCTTCCATCTTTGTTATAATAAAAAAAAATTTTTTCGAGTTGCACGGATATGAATTTAAAAATTTCATTTATATTTTTCTTTTTTTGGAAATCATTTTGTTTTACAATTAGATTTTTTATTTGTTGTATATTAAAAAAGATCTAAAAAATTCTTTTTTGGAAATTATTTTGCTTTACAATTAGATTTTTTATTGCTGCATATAGTCAAACCTCGTTATAATGAACCCTCATTATAACAAATTTTATATATGAGAAACATGCTCAAGAGGAAGATTTCAAGCATGTCTTGAAGGAGTTATATACCCCAAATTCAAACTCTGAGATCTAACAAATGTGATTATCGTAAAACAAGTGTTCACAATCAACTAAAGTTAATTAATTCGTAATCCGTGAAACAACTGCAAAAATTTGCCGATCATTAATATGTTTTTGTGGCGATAATAAACATTATAATTTTCAGGAGTTTTGAGAATCTGACATTTCCTCACGTGACGAAAAAAGCAAATTTGATTGGCCCAAATAAATTACACAAATTTTAAAGAAAAAAAGAATTTTATTTTATTTTTTAACGAAGCTTCAACTAAATAAATTCTTGCATGTATCTTGCTAACCCAACATTCAACCAATTATAAAAAAGTGTGCAAGTTTATCAAGTATATATTTGAAGCAAATTTTTATTTATCTTATTTGAGGCGTGGACAATAGAAACAAGGCAACATCTATCAATCGTATAAATAATGTTTTTTATTAGTGTGTACT